CAATAAATTTAAAAAGAAAATGTTTCTAACAAATTTCCCTTTTATAATTTATGTCAATAATTTTTTTCAATGAAATTAAAGAGAAGAATCATTTATGAAGATTGTCGCAGATATTTTTATTTCAGTTATGGTATATGACAATAAGTCTATTGTTTACCATTTATCTTGTTTATACTTTAAGCATGTGGTATGTTAGAAGAAGTAAATGTGAATTGGTAAATACAATAAAACTAGCACAGGCTTGTAGGGGAACATTTAAAGAACAGATTTATAGAGAATGCTAAGAAATACATAATTTTAAAATTCTATTTATAATGAATTTTTCTGAAATTGAGTAAAATGTGAGTGTAACTCATTGATTTATTACCTATTTTTGAATCAATGCTCTCTTTAAGTCAAAAAATTTCCAATATTGAAGGGGGGGGGATCTATAATGATAATAATGAATAAAAATTATATATTGTCCCATTTGAGATATTTTAATATTTCTTATGATACACTTATATAACCATGCATTTCTATTATTGAAAATATATGTAAATACTTTATTTATTTGCATTTAACGCTTTTATGTTAATTTTTAGGAAAATAACTTTTGTAAAATTTTAAAGTGTATGCATCAAAATCAGTTCAGCATATCACTTTGCTGTTTAAACTAAATGCTGAAAGAAATATTATTTTTTAAGTATTATGAAAAAAATTGAAATAAAAATCAGTGATGTTATTTAAGATTAAGTCAATTTGCAATCAACTGCCATATTTTTTAGTACTACTGAATGAAATATGACGCCCGGTGGCTAAGTGGTAGCGCTCCGTGCCACAGGTCCTGGGTTCGATCCTTGGGCCGGGCAAGGTTGACTCAGCCTTTCATCCCTTCAGTGGGTCGATAAATGAGTACCAAGCGTGCTTGGGAACTAAACACTGGGGGTTCCGCGTGCGGCTGACCGAAACATCTGCTCCTGCACCCCAGAGCCCAAGGTCAAGAAAACTGAGTTGGGCACAGTAGGCTGTGGCCCTCTATGGGCTGTCGCACCACTCAGTTAAGTTTAGTAGGTACAATGAAATATACTTTGAAATGAAATCAGTATACTTTATTTTTTGAGTTAATAGGATATTAGAAGTTAATTACATTTTGATGAATTTCTTTAAATGATTAGACATAGGAGAAGATACATAAATTCTACAAATAAACCAAATTAAAAATATATTTAGGATTTATTTATTAACTGATTTAAAAGAGAGGGAAAAAATTTAAATGCTTTAAAACCTTGTATAATAGTTTTTTTAAATGAATGTTTAATTAAGTAAAAAAATAAATCAGCCTTACATCCCAAATTTAGAGAAGCCGCATTAGCACAAAAATTTCAGATTCATCCAAAGATGATGATGTGCTTATAAATTAAAATCTTTACGTGTTCATTAAAGTTTTTAATTTTATTAACATATATTTTTTTTCACTGTAAAAAAGTTTCATTTTTTTAAGTCAAAAACATTTGCTAAAATAATTGCTTTAATACGAATATTATATGCCATAGAAACTAATGGAAAAACTAAATGTTGTTTAATATTAAACATTTCAATAAAATAACGAAAAATATTTAGTTATTCATTTATAACTTTATGTAGTAATTTTAACAGTAAAAAATAATTTCTTTTAATATTTTGTTTGCTAATGAGTTTAGAAAAAATAAGAATGATTAAAAAAATTTTAAAACAGGCATGTAATGAAAACAGAGCAAAAAAATTATGAAATATCATAATGATGTAAAATTGTNAAGAACTTGTTTGTTTTTTTAAACCCTGGATGAAACTGAGGTGAAATATAATTTTATTTCTTACCATCTTTTTTGTTCATGGTCACTGTTGTTGATTTTAAATTATTTTTAAATTTTGAGTTCTTCCTTGTTGATCTTCTGTTCTGACTCTCCGTGACAGAAAAAAAAAATGATAGTTAGAATATGATAGTAAAAACAGTTAAAACAAAAATAACAAAATTAAAACAATAAATTTAAATGTGTCTAACAAATTTTCCTTTTATAATTAATGTCAATAATTTTTTTCAATGAAATTAAAGAGAAGAATCATTTATAAAGATTGTCGCAAATATTTTTATTTCAGTTATGGTATATGACAATAAGTCTATTGTTTACCATTTATCTTGTTAATACTTTAAGCATGTGGTATGTTAGAGGAACTAAATGTGAATTAGTAAGTACAATAAAACTAGCACAGGCTTGTAGGGGAACATTTAAAGAACAGATTTATAGAGAATGCTAAGAAATACATAATTTTAAATTTCTATTTATAATGAATTTTTTCTGAAACTGGGTCAAATGTGAGTGTAACTCATTGATTTATAACCTATTTTTGAATCAATGCTCTCTTTAAGTCAAAAAATTTCCAATTTTGAAGGGGGGGAATTTATAATGATAATAATAAATAAGAATTATATATTGTCCTATTTGAGATATTTTAATATTTCTTATGATACACTTATATAACCATGCATTTCTATTATCGAAAATATATGTTAATACCAATTTATTTGCATTTAACGCTTTTATGTTAATTTTGAGGAAAATTAAATAACTCTTGTAAAATTTTAAAGTGTATGCATTAAAATCAGTGATGTTATTTAAGATTAAGTCAATTTGCAATCAACTACCATATTTTTTAGTACTACTGAATGAAATATGACGCCCGGTGGCTGAGTGGTAGCGCTCCGTGCCACAGGTCCTGGGTTCGATCCTCGGGCCGGGCAAGGTTGACTCAGCCTTTCATCCCTTCAGTGGGTTGATAAATGAGTACCAAGTGTGCTTGGGAATTAAACACTGGGGGTTCCGCATTCGGCTGACCGAAACATCTGCTCCTGCACCCCAGAGCCTGAGGTCAAGAAAACTGAGTTGGGCACAGTAGGCCCTGGCCCTCTATGGGCTGTCGCGCCACTTAGTTTAGTTTAGTAGTTAGAATGAAATATACTTTGAAATGAAATCAGAATACTTTATTTTTTAAGTTAACAGGATATTAGAAGTTAATTACATTTTGATAAATTTCTTTAAATAATTAGACATAGGAGAAGATACATAAATTCTACAAATAAACCAAATTAAAAATATATTTGGGACTTATTTATTAACTGATTTAAAAGAGAGAGAAAAAATTTAAATGCTTTAAAACCTTGTATAATGTTTTTTTAAATGGATGTTTAATTAAGTAAAAAAATAAATCAGCCTTTCATCCCAAATTTAGAGAAGCACAAAAATTTCAGATTCATCCAAAGATAATGATGTGCTTATAAATTAAAATCTTTAAGTGTTCATTAAAATTTTTAATTTTATTAACATATTTTTTTTTCATTGTAAAAAAGTTTTATTTTTTTAAGTCAAAAGCATTTGCTAAAGTAATTGCTTTAATACAAATATTATATGCCGCAGAAACTAATGGAAAAACTAAATGTTGTTTTATATTAAACATTTCAATGAAATAACGAAAAATATTTAGTTAATCATTTATAACTTTATGTAGTAATTTTAACAGTAAAAAATAATTTCTTTTAAAATTTTGTTTGCTAATGAGTTTAGAAAAAATAAGGATGATTAAAAAAATGTTATAACAGGCATGTAATGAAAACAGAGCAAAAAAATAATGAAATATCATAATAATGTAAAATTGTCAGCACATCTTTAAACCTTTAACAAAACTTTATACATTAATATAACACATTTTTCATGGAAAGCAAAACCTTTTTAAAAAATTACTAAACTCAATAAGAATATGGTAAAAATATCAATATTAAAGCCCATATGAGTATATAAAAACTTGTAAGCTTAATTTTTGTTGTTGTTGTTTTTTCTTATCCTCCATCTGTCTGATGGAGTCAGACAAGATCCAATAGGTTGTTGACCCTCAAAAAGTCGATGACAAGAAGTGGAGTAGCATATAAGTCCTCCTTGGAAAGATGGATAACAAGAATCTTGCTTTTGAAAAGCATCCAATATATCTCGGATATGTCTCAGACCCAGAATGGACAAGCTTAATTTTTAAAAACTTAGTAATTTTAATTTTTACAGTGTTATCGTGTTATCATTTGTGCTATTATTAATAAAGACTGTGTGAGAGAAATACATACTAAATGAACATAATTTTGATAAGCATAAACATTATTTTAAAAAAAAATTTCAAAAATTTCTTCTCTCTCACTTTTTTTTTTTAAAGTTATTGTTTAGATTTTTAATTTGAAATTATACCCTTTTATTTATTTTATTCCTATGAATTAGATTGAAATTAGCACTGTTTTTCTAATCTGCCACATTTTAAAGAAAAAATTTCAGTAGAAAAAAAACCCGAAACATTTCAGCTGTCCTAATTGGCATCCATTCACACACAATCCAACATTCTCTGAGGCAATCTGCATCAGAAATTTCATTGAAAAAAACTTAATTTATTTTTTGAATTATCTAGAAAAAGTTTGATTTCTTATCCTCGCCTGACCCTTTACATAAAAAGTATTGGCAAAACAGAGAATGCTAACTTAAATAAAAACAAAAAGTTATAATTGCTTCCAAATCACTGAAAGCTAAATTTCTAGTCATTTTTTGCACAGAATCTTTTAGTGGAAATTAAACTTTTTCAATTAACTCTTTGAAAGATTTTCAATGCTTACCTTATATTTTGTGATCCTAAGAGTTGAACTTAGAAAATTTTGTTGTTTTATTGTTGACAATTCTGTTAAGAAAATTTCCTGGCCGACAAGTTATTTTTCTCATTCTGATTTCTAAAAGAATTTATTCGAATTTTCTGTGTGTCTGTTGTGTAATGCTTTTTAAATTTTTGTTAAAAATTAAGTAAAAAATATTTTTACTGTAGATCTAAAGTTAATATTCACATAAAAAAACATAGAATTTAAAAAAAAATTTTTATAGTGAATACAAAACGTAGCTCAATACAGTATGAAAACATAATCAATAAAAATAACTAAAACTCTTTTTTTTTTCTTTTAGCTCTTTAAATGTTTGAAAACCTGTGCCAGACCTCCGTGAATTTCTGTAAGTTTTCTTATTACTTACTGCATTAATTATTAATTGGATTAACTCGCTTTCATGTTTATAACAATGGCAACTTGCGATTGAAATTTCTACTACTTTTCGATTAGTTAGAGTACTAAATTCTGTACTGTAGCTCTGTGCTTGTCGACTTCACTTTCCAAGTAGTTTAAATGCTCCAAATTCAACTTGTGTTCTATTGCAGGGTTCCCTCGGTACTTGAAAGTCCTTGAATTTGGTTGAAAAATATCAGGGCCCTGAAAAGTCCTTGAATTCTGCCATAAGTTACTTGAAAAGTACTTGATTTTTTTGGAGTTAAAATAATACTAATCTTTCTTACAATAAGCAGTAAAAAAATAGCAAATTCAAGCAAAAATTATAGAAATTCTGATAGGTGCAATTTTTAAATGCTTGAAGAGTGGAAAGGGGTTAAAGAAGATGCAAAATTTTTCTGTCATAGATTTTTCACACCAGATTATTGTTCATCTCTGATGTTTAGAAAACTGAAATTTCTAGCAAATTCTAGTTTTTGTAGTCATAGTTTCTGAATGATATATAGTGTTTCGTCGATTTAGAAATATGTTCAATGTGTTGACTTCATTATTACGACAGGTTAATATTGTTATCCTATTTGTTATTTTAATTTTTATAAGAAGTGTCATTAGTTCATAATCATTTACAATCAGATTTTTACATTTAGTTTTTACTGCTAAAATTAAGTTCTAAATTTCATGGATTATGAATAAACATCGTGATTCACATTAAACTGAGTCTTGATTTATGTGAATATTGATTATGTACATATCTTATTTCTTTTCACCACAGTGAATGTTTTTTGTATTCAGATTTCAATATCCCATCATTGATGTACATAGACCACCCCAAGACATTCCATTCTTAGAAATGCCTCCCCTTATCTCTTAAGATCACTCACAGATGTAACATTCCTATCTGATTTCATATTTAACCATAATTACCACTCTGTGAATTAAATTTTTAGATAATATATAAATAGATTTATAGTTAATACGTATATTATATTAAATTTTTAAAAAAAATCTTATTGCATCCCCATGCAAGAATGTAGACCCTCGATATAATAATATATCCCTCTACAACAGTATATTTATTTGGTCCCCAAAATATTGTTGTAGCGAGGTTTTACTGTATATATATATATAAAGTAAATTTATTTATATTTTAATTGATGGGTTGCAATTATGTACTTGGATTTGGATATAGTCATGATTAAAAAAACAGGCAATGATTGAATTTCATAATAATTAGTAAAAAAAGTAATTAAATTAAGGGAAACGTGATCATTAAGAAAAGTTGTAGTACAATGGGATAACAATAACCCAATAGGTTCAAAAGGTCACAAAGTGTGAGGTTTGTACAAATTGGAAAAATTGGCATCACCAAATTTGGAATAAGGGTGAAAACTAAAATTAATACAAAAATGTAAACAAAAGACAAATAAAACGATGACATGCTATATCCAAATATAAATATATCATTTAACGCACTTTAGTGATGTTTCCATATAGAAATAAAACAAATACCCATAACAATAATTAAAAGTACTTGCCACATACAGGAGGAAGAAAGTAATAACTATTAACAAATGTAAGCTTAAAAAATCACACAATTCTTTCAATTCAGCTGAATAATTATTTTAATAAAACAAACTCGCAATTTATTTAGTAAAAAACAATATTTTCTGACGCATTTTTGTGACACAGAAAATGACTTTAATTGAAATGGGTGACAAGAGAATGAAAAGAAAACGGCGTTATACATAAAAATAAAATATGAGAGAACAACAAATTTAACTGTTAAAAAAATATAAATATAGAACGAAAGCTTACATTTGAGAGGGTCTTTAATGTTTAAGGAAATTAGAGGTAAAAATTTAGATATTTAAGTTACAGAAATTGAATATGGTTATGGTTTTAATTTAGGATAAAGACTAAGAAAAAAAGATGTAAAAAAATAGATCAGTGCAGAGATGTGACCAAGCATGCATGCACGACAGAGAGAGAGAGAATTAGTATTGAATCTGTAAAAGTATCTTAAAAAAATTTGTTAACTGGTAAAGGACCAGAAAAGTAATAGCCAATTATATTTAAAGAAGAGGAGAGTTTGAAAGTCAAAGGAGAGAGATTGGTTTAGTTAGCCCCCGATAAAAAAATAAAAGAAGAAAAAGGAAAGGCTGGGATAGATGGTTAACTTTCCCCACAGGAAGTGCAATGACCTCGTTGACCATCGAGGAAGGTCAAACAGAGAGTTAAAATAAATTTAAACTGCTAAATAAAAATAAATAAAAAAAGTTTTATGAAAATTAAAAGATTAGATGTAATTAAAAGAGATAGTTGTTACGTTACACAAAGTGTAAATGTGACAATATATATAAAATTAAATCTTAAAAATCTTTTATTACCTTTAAATAGCATCAAATGAAAAAGTTAAAATTAATATCTGTGTATAAATAAATTATACAGCTATTGTTTTTTCAGAATAATTGTAGGTTTTTTACAACTTTATAAGGTTTTGCTATTTCTTCTCTTGAAATTTGGGAAATGTCTACTGTGCTATATTCTGCTAAAATGAACATCATAATCTCTGTATCTATAAATAACTTCCGTTCTATCACATTAAGCGCAGCACTATTTATTTATTTTTTAAAAATTTACGGATTTTCAAGTTTAATTTTCTCGTTCATATTCTCTGGAAACAACTTGGGTGTCTTTTAAAACATGTTGTTTGGTTGAAATACGTTTTAGATAGCTTATTTCTGCTGCATTGACAAAAACTAAACCAACTTTAAGTTGGATCAGTTTTAATAACTTCTTTTAAATAGATGTTGAAAAGATTCAAATGGATTATAAATCGAAAGGCATGCAATATTTCCTTCACTGGATCCTTATAAACAACTCGAGAAAGATTTAAAAAAATTTGCTGTTTTAATTTGATGCATGACAAAACATAAATACATACTAAAAACTTTTTGTTCATTTTCAATTCACCTATACTGAACTACATTCTTTTAAGAAGCATGAGAAATGTCTCTTTTATATTTACTTAGAACCTAAATTTTTCTCTTGTGATTGAAACCACTATTTATAAAGGTAAATCATTCTACACATTAGAAAACATTGGAAGTTGAATGGAGCCAGTGTGGACATGTCCACGCTAGACCCACCACCACGTGTCTACACTACCACCACGAAGATATGTATTTGTTTTTGTTTAATGCTGGTTAATTGAAACTGTACAGATCAAAATTTAATATCAAGGTAGGTAAAACAGATTGTATTTTATTATATATTGTTGAAATCCTAAAAATAAAATGGTAATAAAAGTAAACAGAAAATTTGAAAGTTACTTTTGCACTTTAATAACCTTTTTTTCGCAAATTTCGAATAAAGCATTCTTAGTGTATTTATATAACTGCACATGGATGTATACATCAGTGTTGCCAATCTAAGATATTTCACAATGAAGTTTTAGCCTATAAATAATAAAGCTCTTCAAGATGTCCTCTCTAGAATTCAGCTCTAAATCGTAAATTGAATAGTTCTCAAACCTCTTTATATGATTCCCAAATTATGTATAACCTCCAGTTATCTTCTATCATTCCCAAAGAAGTTTTCAAAGCAATTAGATTCTCCTAGCTATTCCTTAAGGTTCCTAAATCCTCTTTTACGGTTCGAAGGACAAATAAATTTTTAAACAAATTTCTATAGCTGCCAAAAATTTGACTCCATAAGTTATTTCTATATCTCCATTTTCCATGTAATTTCTTTAATAATTTTATATATTTGCTACCATAAAAGTTCCCGTCTAGCCTGTCATTATTTCTAAACCATAGAGGTTGCTACAACATTTTTCGTTGCTCTCAAACCATACATATTCCCAGTTTTTTGCATAGGTATCAAACCATACAAGATTCCAAACTATTTTGTGTTTTTGAAAGCAATATAAGTCTGTAGCAAATTTATGTTTTTATCAAGTCATATATTTTCCCAAGCCATTTTAAATGGTTTTTAAGCCACATATGTTCCCAAGTTATTTTAGATGGTTCTCAAGATATTTTTTATTTTTATTTTAAAAGCTATTTTATATTTCCCAAGCCAAGTAAACTGAAAACTATTTTATATGGCTCCCAATTTAATATCCTAAAGCCATTTTATGTCGTTGTTCCAAAGCCATATATTTTTGCAGCACTTTCTTCGTGACTCACAAGACATATATTTTAAACATTTTTTTACACAGATAAAAAGCCGTAAGGTATACCAAACCATTCTCATGCCATATGGTACCCCTAATTATTTTATGCGGACCCTATAGTTTGACACAAAATGTTCATGAGCCCTTATGATTTCCTACCTACATAAATTTCTGAGTTATTTTGTAAGCACTCGAATTCTTAAATATTTCTAAGTTATTTTATATGGCTTATAAGCGATATAGGTTAAGTTATTTCACATGCTTCCCTAACAATGTAGGTCATTTAGTTATTTTCTGTGGTTCCTAAACATATAGACTCTCAACACATTTTCCATTGTTCCCTAACTTAATATGACCCTTAAATATTTAGCATGTTTCCTGCCATATAGATTCCTAAGTCTTGTAAGAACCTAACACATTCTTATGTGTCCCAAGCTGTGCAGGTCCCCCAACTATTTACCAAGTCACCAAAATAATTTTATGTGGTTCTCAACCCTTATAATTCTTTATGTAGTTATAAAATTATTAAAATTTCCAAACCATATTATGATTCTTTACTCATTCCCCAAGCAGTTTTTTACGTATTCTTTTCAATTATCAAGAGTTTCTGTAATGCAGTGGTAACAGCTTTACAGCTTCAGTTCGTTGGATACCAGCTGGTCTGAAAAATGAAGGTGGCTTATGTGCAATGTTTCCCCTATTGACTCTATCCTGCCATTAATCACGATATTTTAAAGCTTTAAACATAATGACTCTAAGCTCACTACGGGCATTGTGCAGGAATTTTACCTAATGAGCTTATTTTTGGATCAAAGCGATAATTATTATCAATAATATCAGAACTAAAAACTTTATATTGTTTTTCATTTATTCTCTTCTAAAAAGGAAACAATCTTTTTGAATTGAATGTTACTCTTTTAATAATCTTCTTTAAGAAATCAATAATTTTCTTTAAGAAATTCATTTGTATCTTCTTATGTGGAACAATAATATTTAGCAAGATATTGTGGATGAAAAGTATTTTAATGCGTCTTTAGCCCTTCAATTGCAATAGTAATTATGGTACTTACTAGTATTAGAAAAACTGTGACTGTTTGTAATCATGATTACAAGTAATTGATATTTTTTCATTATTATTTGTAATAAATTATTTATAACTCCGATACATAGTATGAGAATACGATTCTCCTTTCAAAGTTCCACTCTTTTCATAACCTTCTTAGCCACTATGATAAAAAAGAATAAAATATATGTATTCTTTGTTTATTATCACAGTGTTGCCCAGGGAACGCCAAGCGTGGAGGCGAGGTTATTTTATTTTGACTGCTAAACTATTAAGCACAATTCATGAAAATAATAAAAGTAATAGGATTTGAAATATTATTATCATCTTAAAAATATGCTCCACAAACTGTGAAAACCAGAAAACTAAAGAAAATTTTTTATATTGAAAATCCCATTTATTCTTTCAGAAGCATTTTCAATTCCAAACAAATGTATTTTAATTTTTTCTCTTCGATAAAGAAAAGAGAAATGCGATAGAAAAATATTTTTTGTTAAGCTGAACAAGTTTTATTCTTAATTTTTCAAACTAATCTGCTTAATCTTATTTCATGACTACATTAACTTAAGTTATAGAATATTTTCTACACTAAATTAGTTAAATTTTCCAAAATATTTTTGTGATAGATAAATCAAAAACGTAATTGGAACACTTCGATTTTGGATGCTGAGTACACAATTCTGCAAATACTTTTTCAAAGAGTAGATAAAAACGTTTCTGAGATATTTTGAAACTTTTTTGTACATTATACACTTCATACGTTTTGGAAAATTACTGTTATCATTTATTCTAAGTTGGTGATAAGTGCTTTATATTAAGCAGTCAAAATAGTTCCCCAAAGGAGCTGTCCGTTTTGTTCTTAATCACATTCCAGTTGTTACAATCGCTACAGTCCCCCAAGGAGTAGAGAGAATCAAGGACTCCGTGTATCCCACAATAACATATCCTTACAGAGAATGCTGCATGTTCATCCAATTAAAAAGATACTTCACAAGAAACAATGAAAAGAAAGAATAAATATAACTAAAAGATTACTAAACACGTGATTTTAAAATCAAATGTGCCAAAAGAAAACTTATATTTCATGTATTATAACTTAAAATATAAAGCCAAAAGACAATGATGATAAATTTTGCTTACATACTAAATCTCTAAATCGGGGAACAATGCTTAAAACTACAAAGTAAAAATATCAAACGATTTTCAAAATAATTTAGAATATGGCAGGCCGCAATGATATCTTTTAAATGGAAGAACGCACTACAAACTCTTTCGTGACATGATAATGTAGGACGAACGAAATCTTCGATTGTCATCTCTACTCCTCTACATTCCTTTGGTAAAGTGGAACTTTTATTAACATTATGAACCCCTAATTAACATATTTTTCAAAAAAAATTGTTTATAGTTTTTTCTTAATAATCATTTATTTAAATAATATATGTAATTTTTATGTTTGTATTTAATCAATTAATATCTTCTTTTTAATTAATAAGTATTTTGAAATTTAGATACATTATTTGGCTATGCATACTTTATCCAAAAAGAGAAGTATAATATTAATATTTTAGCACAAAAACGAAATTCTTTTAATAAAAAATGCTTTATTTAATTTCATGTTTTTATTTTAATTAGCATTATCAAACAAAAATTCTTAAAAAATGTTTATTTAAAAATATTGTTTAGTATGTATATAATTTCACAATTATGTATTTTTAAGGCATTTTTTTTGTATCCTAAAGATCAAATGTCCTTAAAAATGTGTAACAAAATTTTTAATATAAAATTAGACTGTACAATTTCAAGATTACTATACCTTATTAATAATTGACTGAATTTTGTAATGATTATTATTTTGGGGGAGGGGGGTTTGTGAGTTTGGCGTCTCTATTTCGCGTGATATGGGATGAGAGATATTTAATTCGGTGAAATTTACAAGTTCCAATTAGTTATTTTAGCATATTTAAATCCAGAAAAAGTTCCATTTAATATATTAAGGATTAAAACAATGCTATTCTTTTAATTACTTGTTACACATAATTTTATTCCAGTATGTTTTTATTTCTTAATTTGTTATAAATAATTTGTTAAACACAGTGAACAATTTATTAATATAATATTTAAATTGAAACGTTTGCTGGTATGAAAGATTTCAAAATGTTTTAATGATCATTTTGCTTGAAGTTAAATAACTTTAACTGTGAACTGGGAGCCCTGCATTTGTAATAAAATAAAGTTCCAAGCTATAATCTTGGTTGTTGTTGTTTTTGTTACTGTTGTTGTTGGTGTTATTTACGTCGCACTAGAGATGCACAGCTAAAACTTTGGATTAGGACTATTAAAAAAAGTCAGGGATTGAACAATTATGTAATTATTGTTATTTTTCTATTTTTTAGTGAAAAATGACATTTCGACTACAAAGATATGTTAATATTTACTGTGACTTATAATTTACTCGAAAACTGTCATGTTATTTTTTTCTTAAATTACTTGAAAGATTTTTTAATAAGTTGTTACGATTTGTGGCGAGCAGGGTGTGCTGCGACTCGATGCTGAGGGTGTGTGCAGAAGGGTGGTGGAAAGACTACAAAAAAGACCTAGGTATCCAGCTAATGGGACATTAAACTGTCAAATAAGGTAAAATTTATTTAAGAAATATCAAAATTAATCATTATAAAAAATTTCAATATCAATTTTCTTTCTATTAATACCAAAAATTGGAAAAAGAATGATTTAAAAGATATGTTAGCTGAATTTTATAATATAAGTTGAACATTTTGCGATTCTTTATTAATTATTAAAAGAGTATTCATTTACGAGTGATATCAGTTGGTTCCAATATTTATCACGTTAATCTACTATAACTAAAAAGAAATTAATAATGATATTATACATTGTCTTAAGCAGGATACTCAAAAGACATAATTTATTCATTAAAATTTTATTGCTATATTTTTTCACATAAAAATTACTTTTTTTAATAGATAACTATTTTGTTTATGT